GTTTGCTTTAATTCCATGTCTCATGACTTTGCATCAAATGAAAATGTAAGTGCTGATGGATCGACCACACAAACGGTTCAAATAGAAGAACTTCGGTGCTACTGCATTAGTAGATAATGCTTCTTACTGAGGTTAGCTTAATAAAATTAAGAAATAACTGATTTTTTTTTTTTTGTGTAAACTGTTCAGGTTTTGTTCAGTTTCATGTGGTTGCAGGCATTCCTATTAAAAGAAGAAAAAAGCTTCCTGTTCACATTAGCTGGCTTTGCAACTTTTTCTTTAAATAAAAAAAAAAATTGCCATTAAATGTCTGTCTTATATTTAAAACTTGTAGAGTTAATGATCTCAACTGTTATGTTCAGCATACATGGGTCTTGGTGAGAATGATGCTGGCTGCTTCCTCTGGAAGGAGTGAACTTACTACAGTTTGTCAACACAGCAATGAATACATAGATAACAAGGACTGCAAAATCTGTATTAATCAGTTGGATAGGCTTTCTTGTTCTCCTCCCTCACTGTAGTACCTTGAGGCAGAAAATGAACCTCGGAATTAGATCAAGAATTCTGACTTCAGCCTGAGCTTTCGGAGTGGTCTTTGGTTTATCTCCACGTGATTGTAAAATATGAATATTAACTTGCTAATGATGTCTGGATGCATTCCAGGTCAATCTCTGATTAGTTTTAACTAACATCTGTCACTGGCAACCAAGCTGACAACCAACTACGTTATTTTCTTCTGTAAGAAAATAAATGCTTATGTCAGTATTTAGAATGCTTTGATTGGTTTGGTACCAGCATATTTAAATTTTAGGAAGAAATAAAAGCTAGACTGTTTGAGGAAAAACTGCATCTTCAACATTCAGGCTTAGTAGGAAACTTTGGTTGTGTGGATAAAGACTTTGCACCGTTGTTGACATTGCAACTATACAAGATAGGACTTGGAGTACTAAAGAATTTTATGAAGTTTTAGACCCCTCTCAAACTAAGACAACAAAGTTGCAACTTGATGATGAAAACTTGTTTTAACCTTTCCTTGGGCCATACCAAAAAATCATAGATTCATAGAGTAGTTGAGGTTGGAAGGGACCCGAAGCTCTCTAGTCCAACCCCCTTCTCAAACCAGCGTCAACTAGAACAGGTTATTCAAGGCCTTGTCTGTTGGATTTTGAGTATCTCTAAGGATAGAGACTTGACAGCCTCTCTGGGCAGCCTGCTCCAGTGACTCATCACCCTCACTGGTGGTCAAACCTTAATTACTTTGTTTATGTAAAGTCATCACCATTATTAAACTTCCATGTAAACTCTTTTTAAGTAGAAGCAAACAAAATCAAGAGAATTTTTTTTTTGTTCTATAATTTTTAAAAGGCCAGTGTAGCTTCATTTCTTCTGCATATTATTTGTCCTCTCTTTTAAGTGCTAGGAAAAAAGCATTTTGAATGAGAATGATAATGCCAAGTCTGTATAGGTAGATTCCTCTGAGCAAAGAAACTTAAGTGTGGCCAAATTTTCAAATTCTGAACGCTTACTTTTTTTGCTGTCTGATAGGAATTAGTTTCAGAAGCGTACTGTTCTGAATCCTCTGAATTTAAATGGAATTAAAATTTAAAAAATCCACAACAAATCGGTGCTTTTATTTCATAGTTACTATAAAAAGAGATCAAGGAGCCAGAAGACTTGCAGGGAAAATAAAGATATATTACAAGAATCCCCAAAATAAACGTGTCTGTCCTAATCATGCTGTTGAAAACTTCACTGTGATTATTTTTATAAGCTAACATAATCTTTACTAGTAAATCTTGCCTCTTTATTATCAGCTGTTTTGTAAATGTGAATGCAAGTAACTTTTCCAGTTAATCAGCTTTAGATGATTTGCTAAAGTTCTTCTAGCTACTACACAACAGGAGATTTCAAACACTGAAAATAAATTGTTAAATTTTTTACCATGCTTCTTGAGTAGTGTTGGTACACACACGTGAATTCTTGTAATTAAAAAAAGGATTTGGAGGCAGGGAGGATAGGGGAATTTAGTAGGTATTTTGCTGGTTAAGTGTGAGATTATCTTTCAGAAAAAGCATTATCTGTTCTCAAGAAAGTTTGAGTAATTGCTGATAAGTTACCATTCATTTTTGGGATGGTATACTTTTTGCCCCCCTAGTAAATGCATAAAAAGAGTCACAAAGCTTATAATGGCAGAGGTCATAATTAAGGCATTTCAAAATGGTTTTTTTTTTGCCCTGTAGCTACTTTGTCTTTAATTTAAAGCCAGATGAGAGTTTATGACTACTCTAGGTTACTCTATGAAATGTCTGACTGATAGGCCAAAAACGTGGTTTTTTTAAAGGTCTATAAAGACAAAAACTGTACTTCAAAGTATGCATACATGATCTGAAGCAGAGGGAAATTAGGAAAGGATGCCAGTACATCAGTTAAATAATGAGAAGGTTAACAGGACAGTTGATTCTCAGTTTATAGCTGTTATCTTGCTAGTATGTTTTGGTTGGTGTTTTGGGTTCCTTCCACCCCCAATTGGGATGTGTATGTGTATATATAGGCATGATATTCTGATTCTGCCTGAAGAAGTGGTACAGGTGCGTGGTGTCGTGACAGAATTTCCTGATAATAAGGGTTTTATAACTTTAGATATTTAATGGTTTGGTGGCATTGTACTTTCAGTTTAAAGGATGCATCAGAGACAGTCTGTAATTACATGGCTTGAATTACTGCTCTACCTTTTTAAGTACCATCCATATAGTAAAAGAATAACACAGGAAATGCTGCAGTTTGTGGTGTTGATATAGAATATAGCTAGTTTCCTTAGTTATGCTTACTCTGAGGTAGCTTTTGCTACCATTGTCCAAAAATTATGATTTAAAGGAGAACAGTCTCTGTCATCAAAAACAAGTAATAGTCACCACGTACAGAAGGAGCTTGAGGCATTCAGGAAAGCCATAACATATGACAATCTGATGAGTACAAGACGATAATCCTTAGTCCCAAAAGGATGGGCCAGCATGTTCAATAGAGTGGCAAAATACTCTTAGCAGAATGGATACAAGCCTGCATCATCTACATGTCAGTAGTCCAAAACAGATATGAACAAGTGGAGTACTGTCAGTCTTGCAGTCAGCATTTAACACCATGAGAAAAATCTGCAGAAGTATCTCTAGGTAATATTTAATTCTGTAATTACATTTTAAATTCTTCTTCTGGCTTTAAAATACATGAAAATCAGTGACTTTATAGTTTCAAGGTCACACAATTTCTGTCCAATATGCAAACTGAAGACATCATATATGCAGGACAAACTTGCCCAACACCGTATTTCTCCCTTTCCATATGTTTTTCAGTAATTCCTAAAGGCAACTTTTTTGTGAGCTAGGGGAGGAGAAGGAATTTGAAGCTGCTGAGGATAAAAAAATTCTCTTTCTGTACTCTAGCTACTAATTTTTTGGTGCGAATTAAGCACTGATTCCTTTTTTATTCAGAATTTCTCTTTCAAGGCATAGTACAGAAATAATTGCAATTTGCGTATCTGTATTATATGAAAACCTGGTGTAGTCATGAGGTTAACCATCTGTTTTGGATTACATGACTTCACTGAATATGAAATGGTAAAGTGGTGATCATCATAATTCTGATGTTGTGATACAAATATTTATTGAAGTGCCCTACTCGCTGAAATAGATGGGAATTAGTTACCTAGGTACTTTTTAAGTTTAGGTCATTAGTATTCTACTCCTTGTCAACAGTAGTTCAATGTCAATAGTATGTAATTCTGGTGTAAAACTTTTTCTAGGTTTAAAACAGAACGCTATATTGTGACATTTTCACTGATATTTTCATCACACTAATTTTTGGCAAAACCTGTTTTTTCACCTGTCAAAACAAGTATGCGTTGCATACTTTGCATCCGTGGACAAAGGAGGCATCAATATTAAAAATACACTTCCTGGTTTATTTCCTTAACTGAAAGACTATTTGGTTATAACTTAAGATTGTTTTCCCAGTTACAAGTTTAAATTCTAGATCTATACATGTGTTCTTTCCACATTTAGCAGATACTAAAGCTGGAGATAAACAGTATGACAGCAGCTTTCTGGCAGACGGTTGTATGCTATTCAAAAATGAACATGCATAACCATCTCCAAACAGGATAAGAAATTACACTCAAAATGTGTAATTTCTTGTACGTTTGATGGAATTGGTAACTGAATCAACCAGTTAAACACATGAAACTTGAACTATATATATCATGTCAACTAATATAATAAATATCAACTATATAAAATATCAACTAGTTTTATTATGAAGGCACTTTTATTTAAAAGCAAAGCAGCATTAAAAGTAGATACTGGGCTAGGTCCTTATTTGTTAATGTTCATTCTGCATGTGCAAAGGAATCAAGTCATCTTAGTCAAGCCTGAGGAAAATGAGAATGAGAAAACAATACACCTCACCCTGCCTCCTGCCATCCAAGGTGGGTAACAAAATGAAATGTAACAGGATTGTTGCTGTCATCAGTTTCTTGAGTACTACAGTTACTTTAGGATGTATAAAACCAATTATGACAGGTACAGCTAGAGGACTTAGTAAATCCAAGAGGTGTGTACCTAGAGAATAAGGTAACGTATTGGCAAAGTAACAAGCAAACCTGTATGTTCATAACTGCTTGTCAGCTTAGTGCAGTTTTTGGACACTGTTCATCATGTAAGTTTAAGCAAATGTGACTGCAGTATAACATCTATGCAAATATAATACACGATTCTGTTTAAATATTTCATTTTCTAGCTACTGAAATTGTCCATTTTCAGCAGATTCTGTTCCATTCTTTGAAACTGATCATTTGTTTGGCCCTCTGCTATTAGTGCCAATTCTTGCTCCTGTTGGAATTTTAAAAATACAGCCTCAGTGAAGTTTTTGATTAACACACAAAAACCTTTATGTAAAGGGCAATCTTTTTTCCCTCAATCAAAAAAAAAAAGACTCTTAGAACAGTTTTGTTATCTCACTTCCTTAGTAGCATCAAATTCCTCCTCTTCCTCTTCCTCATCTTCATCTTCCTCCTCCTCTTCTTCTTCATCTTTTCTTAGCATACTGCTGGAAATCTGCTAAAACAAAAACCCAACAAAAGTAAGTCAAGTGTTAGCTCTCCAGAAAGAAAAAGAATTCTCTGTTGGCATTTCCAGTCTAAGTACTTGTAGCTTTTTCGTTCAGGGGGAGGGGAGTTGTTGTTTATCCCTTAACCCTTCAACTTCTAGTAACATGCACAATGCCAACAGAAGGATACATAGCACAGAACATAAATGCAGTAATGATTTTTAAAAGCTAAAAAAGTCCTCATAGTACTGAGAACTATTATAGGGTAGGGAAAACTATGCATCGATTGAATTAATGTTAAAAATCAACAGGATGCAAGTCATTTTTTTCTGGGTTGGTTGTTAAGACAGCAGGCTGAAGATGAGTATTAAGGCATAATCTTATCTTGAGGACATCAAACCTCTTCAGTTAAATGAAAAACTCGACACTATTGTGCTGTAGGCTGTGTTTGAGAATAAATTAGACAAACTTTACTAGATGAGTCTTCATTCATATATGATCTTCT